GACAGAGTTGATTCATGGCAGCAAGAATGAAAGTAGAAGGGAGAGGGAGAGGAAGAGGGAGAGGGAGAGGGGAGAAGGAGATGGAGTGGGAGGAGAAGAGGGAGAGGGAATGGGAGGAGAAGAAGGAGAGGGAGTGGGAGAGGGAGAGGGGAGAAGGAGAGGGAGGGAAGAGAAGAGGGAGAGGGAAGAGAAGAGGGAGAGGGGAGAGGGAGAAGGAGGAGAAGAGGGAGAGGGGAGCAGGAGAGGGAGAGAGGAGAGGGAGAGGGAGAAGAGGGAGAGGGAGTGGGAGGAAAAGAAGGAGAGGGAGAGGGAGAGAGGAGAGGGAGTGGGAGAAGAGGGAGAAGGAGAGAGAGGGGGAGGCGGAGAGGGAGAGGGAGTGGGAGAGGGAAAGGGAGTGGGAGAGGGAGAGGGAGAGGGAGAAGGAGCAGAAATTTCAGGTAAATGCTAGGCCTAGGAGGGAGCAATGATTGAAAAACAAATGACAAGAAGACAGAAAACTCTAAGAAAGATTGTTGAGAACTGCTTTTTTTATCCATGCTATTCGTTTAACTCTTAACATAGAGTTAATCATATGTGTATAAAGTTAATTGAAAAGAGATCTTGGTAAAAAATAAGAATGGGAATAGGAGAGGGAGGAGGAAGAAGAGTGGGAGTGTGAGCGGGAGTGAGGGTATGGTGGGAAGAATCACCATGTTCCTAAGGTTGTACTTATGAAATGTATGAAGTTTGTATTCCTTAAATAAAAGGTTTCTGAACTAGCGGATGGAGGATCTCTCTCTCTCTCTCTCTCTCTCTCTCTCTCTCTCTCTGCCTCTGTGTGACTCTGCCTTTCAAATAAATAAATAAATATTTAAAAAAGAAAAATAAAGAGATAAGATTGATATACATAGAGATGAATGACAGAATAAGAGAAACAGATGCTACATAAGTAGAGGACAGAGAGATCATAGATGATGAATTATTCACTCATTACAAGGGGACTTTAATAGGCTCATGCATGATGGAATTAAAACATAAGTTTATTTTGCTATAAAACATTTTTAAGTCTACATTTGCATTGCTTTTTATAGTAAGCTTTTCCACGAACTTTTTGAAGAACCCCCACCCTTGCATGCAATGATTTTTTTTTTTTTTTGACAGGCAGAGTGGACAGTGAGAGAGAGAGACAGAAAGGTCTTCCTTTGCCGTTGGTTCACCCTCCAATGGCCGCCACGGCCGGCGCACCGCGCTGATCCGATGGCAGGAGCCAGGTACTTATCCTGGTCTCCCATGGGGTGCAAGGCCCAAGCACTTGGGCCATCCTCCACTGCACTCACTGGCCACAGCAGAGAGCTGGCCTGGAAGAGGGGCAACCGGGACAGAATCCGGCGCCCCAACCGGGACTAGAACCCGGTGTGCCAGCGCAGCAAGGCAGAGGATTAGCCTAGTGAGCCGCAGCGCCGGCCTGCATGCAATGATTTTTAAAATTTTTGTACCAAAATAAATTTACCCTTTAATTTCATTTTCCCTCAACTCTTCAAAGTGCCTCACGCTTACTAATATGTTCACACTTTGCATGCCAAGCAGACTCAAGCTGGCCAATTCTAGCCTAGCTGGAAAGGCCCCTCATCCTGGTGGGAAAGCCAAAGATCTCAGCAATGCAAGGCTCTGACTGGCTATGATCTAAAAACGGGGTGCTGGGGGATAATGAGTTTGCTGAGGGAATAGGCCAGACATAGACAAGCAGGTGGAGGAGGAAGGGGCGGGGAGGCGCTCATCAAAGGCCAGGAGGCAGAGCTACAGGGCAGTGGCTTGGCTGTGGCTAAGATCTACGAGGAGGTAAGTCAGGTGAGCCTCCCCTATTGTTTCATTGCCTTGTTATATTATAGATCTCAGAGTGCCCAGCAGGGAGAGGACATAAGGTACAGGAAGGGCTTGGGGTTTGTACTTTCTCCAGAGCCTCACTCACAAAGCTGTCATTAGGCAGTAGTCCCTGGGACCAACAACTATTTAGTAAGCATCCCCCATTAACTACAATGTACTACTACGTGCTATGAGCTGTCCACATTTACTGTCTTCTGTGCTCCTTGACACAGAGGTCATGGTGGGGAATGTGGCTCTTTTCCCCTATCCAGGATTCCTGAAGTTCCTCAGGAACTTTTAGTCCAGGGTACGAAAGATGAGGAGTGAGCCATGAGACCACCGTTCAATGACACACAGACTTCTCCAAGTCTTCTCTTATGATGTGCTTACAGCTGTGCCATTCTCACCGCAATCAAGACACAGGATCACACATCCCCTCGCAGCACTGCACCCCCACCTCCTCCTGTTCTTGTCTAGGCCCTTGACATTTTCTGTTCAAAGTAATGCATCAGCCATTCTCTTCTCGTTCCACCTCCAGTCACTGCTTTTGGATCATATCACATTAAACACCAGGTGAATTAGGCCACTCTCCTACTCAAGAATCTCCACTGACTCCCTATTTCTCACCCTTAGCTTTATCACCTGTGGAAAGCTATCTTTATCCACCCAGCTCCAACTCTCAAGTTTTCGCAGCAATCACACCCTGTAATCAGCTTACTCCCCCCCCCTTTTTTTTTTAATAAAAAAAGACTCATATATTTTGAAAGTCAGAGTTCTGAGACAGAAGGAGAGAGATTTTTGTATTGCTGGTTCACTTCTCAAATGGCTACAATAGCCAGTGCTGGGCCAGGCCAAAGCCAAGAGCTTCATGAGGTCTTCCTGCATGCGTGCAGGGGCCCAAGCAATTGGGCCATCTTCTGCTGCTCTCCCAGGCACATTAGCAGAGAGCTGGATTAGAAATAGGGCAGCCAGGACTCAAACCCACGACCATTTGGAATGCCAGCATCACAGGCAGCAGTTTTACCTGCTGTGCCACAACACCTCCCTTTCTGACTCTGTGCCTTGGCTGTTGGTTTTCCAGTAGATTCTAGCCCAAGCTCTGGAGCTCAGTCACCTTGGTTTAGCTCTCAGCTCTACCGCTTATTAGCTCTGTTGTTTTAGACAGGTGATTTCACTTCTTGGAGCCCGAGATTCCAATGCCAGGAAAGCAGAGAAAGTAGTACCTGTAGTACCTACTTAATGGGGTTGTCAAAAATTCAAATGAGACGATGGCTGGAAAGGACTTAGAATCAGGTCTGCTAAGCCTCCCACCAATATCAGTTATTCCTGTGACTGTTCCCTTTGGCTAGAATGCCCTCCCCTTTTGGTTAACCTAAATCCTGCCTGCTCTTCAAGGCATTGCTCAAGTACCATCTCCTTCAAGGACTCATCCTGAGTAGCAGGCCCTCACAATTTACCCCATAATAATGCCGGTTGAGTATCCCTTATCCAGAGTGTGTAGGACCAGAGGTGCTTCAGATTTCAAAGTTTCTTATTTTGGAATATTTGCAAAGACTTTACTGGCTAAGCAGCCCTAATCTAAAAATCTGTAGTCTGAAAATCAACTCGAAAAGTCTTAGATTTTGGAGCATTTCAGAATATGGATTTTTGGATTAGGGGTGTCCAATCTGTATGATTTTTATACTTTTATTGTATACTTTATTTTTTTTTAAGATTTATTGGGGCTGGCGCTGTGGCACAGTAGGTTAATCCTCTGTCTGCAGCACCAGCATCCCATATGGATGCCGGTTCTAGTCCCAGCTACTCCTCTTCTGATCCAGCTCTTGGCTGTGGCCTGAACCCTGTACCCACGGGGGAGACCCAGAGGAAGCTCCTGGCTCCTTGCTTCGTGTCGGCGCAGCTCCAGCCATTGCGGCCATCTGGGGAGTGAACCAGAGGATGGAAGACCTCTCTCTCTGTCTCTACCTCTCACTGTCTGTAACTCTGCCTCTCAAATAAATAAATAAATATTTTTATTTGAGAGGCAGAGTTACAGAGAGGCAGAGGCAGAGAGAGAGAGAGAGAGCACAGTGTCCTCCATCCTCTGATTTACTCCCCAAATTCCTGCAATGGCCAAAGCTGAGCCAATCTAAAGCCAGGAGCCAGGAGCTTCTTCCAGGTCTCCTACATGGGTGCAGGGCCCAAGCACTTGGGCCATCTTCCACTGCTTTCCCAGGTCATAGCAGAGGGCTGGACCGGAAGTGGAGCAGCCAGGACTTGAACCAGCGTCCATATTGGGATGCCGGCACTGCAGTTGGCAGCTTTATCCACTACGCCATATTGCCAGCCCCAACACTTTTTTAAAAATTATTATTTATTTATTTGAAAGGCAAGGCTACTAGGGAGGGATGGAGGAATGGAGAGACAGAGAGAGAAAGAGAGAAAGAGAGAGAGAGAGTCATCCATCTTCTGGTTCATCCTCCAAATGGTACAATGGCCAGAGCTGGGCCAAGGCCAAAGACAGAAGCACAGAAATCCATTTAGGTCTCCAATACGGGTGGCAGGAGCCCAAGGACTTAATGCCTTCCCAGGTGCATCAGTACGGAGCTGGATCAGAGGTGGAACAAGCAGGACTTGATCCAACGCCCATATGGGATGCCAGTGTTGCAGGCAGCAGCTTAACCTGCTGTGCCATAGCACTGGCTCCCATGTGATACTTTACACTGCTGATGATCATTTCATGTGTGGTAGTTTCACCTTGCTAGCTATACCAAGCCAGTATGCAATGAGACAAAAGTGAATGAAATAGATCAAGGTTCAGATCCTAACTCTACCACTTCAGATGTGGGATTCCTCATGAGTCACTTAACCCATCTGAGCTTCCATTTTCTTACCTGAGAAAGTGAACAATAGTCTTCTTTTTAACTTTTGTTTAATGTATATAATTTCCAAAGTACCGCTTATGGATTACAATGGCTTCCCCCGCCATAACTTCCCTCCCACCCCCTGCTCTCTCTCCCCTTCCATTCACATCAAGCTTCATTTTCAATTCTCTTTATATACAGAAGATCAGTTTAGTATATATTAAGTAAAGATTTCAACAGTTTGCACCCACACAGAAACACAAAGTGAAAAATACTGTTAGAGTACTAGTTATAGCATTAAATCACAATAATCTTTACCTGGATAGATTATTGTGGGGATTAGAGATACTATTAGGGTACTTCAAAAAGTTTGTGGAACATGCATATTTCGAAAAAATAAAAACAAACCTAGGCATAGATTTCAAATTTTTTGAAGCTTATCTTTTAATTCTGTTTTTTTTTTCCACATATTTGTGAAGAGCACTTATAATCTCAAAGCATCAGGGACACAGCTTGTTGCATAGAAAATGGTCAGCACATCCGAATCCATGGTTCTCAGCTCAGTCTTGTCCTTTTGGATGGTTCAAGAACAGTCTCAACAATGGAAACTAATCTGTCCCTCCACTGCCAAGGTTTTACTATAGCACTCCCTTGCCACACTTTGAAAGTTAGCTTACTAAGATCCCTTCCTCCCTCTAGCATTTCTTCAGGAGTAGGAGACAATCCCCAAGAAGGCAGAAGAGGGGTAGGGAGTATTTGGGGACACTGGGGGATAAGTCAAAGGCTGGAAGGAGGAAAATCCAAACTGAGGGAACTGGAGCCAAAGCTAGGGCCTTCTACCCTCACTTGGGAGAGAAGAGGACACTATATAGAGTTTTTGGCAGCGTATTGTTATTCTTGAATATCCCTTAGACTTGGAATCAGTCTACACTTGCATTCAAATCCTAGCTCTGTGCCCTTAGACACGTCCCTTCTGAGTTGTAGATTATTTAACAGTAAAATGAGGAAGAGGAGCATCCCTTTCTCCTAAATTACAGTCTGAATTAAGTGCATGTTTAAAATCAATTGGCAAAGTACCTGACATAAATATTCTATAAATTTCAAACAACAACAACAACATGTTGCATGCATTAGCTGTTTTAAATCTCACTCCAACCTTACACGGTAAGAGCTGTTACTGTACTCACTTTATGGATGCAGAAAGCAGCCTAAGTGATTTCCCACCAGCACACACCCAGTAACCTGCAGAGCTGGGGTTGAGACCCAGATCCTCCAGCACTTTCTAGGATACCACATGAGTCCTCCTTCTCAAAGATAGATCTGTCTCAGAAAGCTCATATATACCCAAGTATTCCCATGCCATTCCTTCAAGGAGCAGCCAGAAAAAAAGAAGCTTGCAGCGGTCCTATAGTTGAAACCTTAGGCAATGAGGAGGGAGGATGAGGAGAAATAAGGAAGGCGGGTAAGAAAATGCCAACCACACCGCTCCAGGCCTAGATATGGAGGCCACCACCCCAGTACTTGCTCTTCCTCGTAAAGCTGGATCAGGCACTATCATTGAACACACACTCCATCATCCTTTACTCCACAATGCCTTTCTTAGGAAGCATAAGGAAAGGGACATTGAAGAAAGCAAGCAGGAGGGGAGAAGGGCAGCAGCCACAGCTGTACCTACCATGGAAGTTGCCCAGGTTGGAGAGGTGGCTTAGGAGACAGCAGGGTATCCAGCTAGCTCACACTCTTGGCAACCCTTCCAGCGAGTGTCCCCCTTCAGCTGGGACCTATCTGCCCTCCAATTACAAGTTGCTGGTGTGAGGGGCAAGGGGCCATCAGCCCAAGATCCTGAGTGTGGTCCAAAGGGCTCAGGCAGAGTTAAGTCCCAGGTCCAAGAAGAGAAAGGAGAAGCATTGAAGGCGAGGTATGACCAGCAGCCGGGTTGGGCCTTTATGAGACCACAGCCTTAGGGAAGGAAAGCTGGTGTCAAGAGCTGGATAGGAATGAAGACGTTGCTCCAGGAACCAGCCAGCGCCCTGGTGGCAAAGGGAAGGATGAAAGGCAGTCCCAGCAGCATAAACAGCCCCCCCTGTTCCTGACTCCAACCTCCTCTGAGCCCCGGCCCACCCCCTCCACAGCTCAGAGGCCAATAAGGAAGCTGGGCCCCCAGCCACTACTAGAACTCAGGAAAGGAGCAAGGAAATGATGTTTGGGAAAGATAAAGCTGGTGTCTAAAAAGAATTTTTAAAAATACACGTAAGTGAGAGAGAAAAATACCCCAGACACATACACTTAAAAGAATTCCTGTGCTTCCTGGACTGAGTTGACCCCACCCAGCCATCTCTGCAGGTCCTCTGGCCCCCAGAAAAAGGAAAGCCCAGATCAGCCAGGCCTAGCAACCTGCAGGTTCAGAGGAGCAGCACCGTGGCTGCTTTTATATACACGTAGGCAAGTCACTTAAGAGATTTTCCAAGGGGAGGGTCAGGCTGACATACAAGGCTCACTGGTAATATGGGCCAATATTTGTAGGGTCTTCACTTCCATGGGCACCCAAGAATATTAAAAGAAAACTAATATCATACCAGAGACCCCCAACTCCAGAAGAGGTGCCCATTAACAATGCTGGAATAGTGGTGCTTGGGCCTGGACCTGCCATGAATTCAAGTGGAACTCGGCCATTAATTTCCTCCTCTCCAGGTGTCTGTTTATTCCATGAAAAATTAAAATGCTGAACTCATTTGTCACAAATGACCCTTCCAGCTCCAGCATGTTATGATATACAAGTCCTTGGGCCCAACCTGGGGCTCTAAGTGATACCCTCCCTGACCAGTACACTAAGCCAGGGCACACAGCAGCTCTATATGTGTTTGTTACACCCTCTAAGTCCAGGCTCGGGCATCACAATCTAATTTCTCTTGGGAATTTAGAATGTTGCCTGAACAATATTCCTCATCCCCACTCCAGTTTCCCTTGGCCTCTGGCCCCAATTCCAGTAATTTTTGGCCCCTGAGAGAGCTTACGCAAGCTCCCGTAGGACAAGAAGTATGCAAGGGCCTTTCCTCTCTGGGGAAATCGTGCCCAGAGGCCCCTTCCCCTCTCTTTTCCCTTGAGACTTCAGAGGGAATTCTGTCCTGACCTGTTATAAACTATATAGGGTACTGTGGAGGGGGGGCAGTTTGGGTCCTTGGCCTGGAGCCTCAGCTCTATTGCTCACCAGTTGTTTGGCTCTGAGCGTGTCACATGGCTTCAATTTCCTCATCTGTCAAACATGCCTGGCATGTGGACAGGCACTCAGTAAATGGTATCTGTTTCTGAGGTCTCATCCTCTCCCCCACTCCCTCCTCCCACCCCTCCAAAAATGATAGTGGCCAAGGTATGGTTAGTAGCGTAGCAAGACAATTGACTTCTTCAATGCAAATGAAGATGAGAGAGAAAGAAGTAGCTAAGAGAAGGCTCAAAAGCCAAAGGTAGTACTCTAGAGCAGCACTTCTCCAACTTGTTTTCCGTGATAAAGTTTTGATTTAGAGCTGGTTACAGAACTGAAATCCATGAATTGTCTATTGGCCTCTGGCTTTTATACACGAATGTTGCTCTCCCCACTCTATGAATATCCAAAGACCATTAGGACTCTTCATGCAGCAAAATGTCTGTGAACTTTAAAGCAATGTCTCTCTAGAGGTTGTTTTTTTTTTTTTTTAATAAATGCATTCTGTGACTGTTCAAAATGCCCCACATCTTTCAATGTTTGTCTTGAAAAATACAAGATTACATTTTATACTCCAAAAAAAAAAAATCAGCTGGGATCTCAGTACAATGCAGATTCTGATTCAGTAAATCAGGAGTGCCGCCCAGCTTCTGACTCTGTAATGCGGGCCAGAGTGATACTGATGCTGCAAGTGTGATAACCACATTTTGAATAGTCATAGAGTAGGGAATAATAATCCTCGGTCCAAACAAGCATCAGGATAAACAGTCTATTTTTTAAAAATTATTTGTTTGAATAACAAGAGCCTAGGGTGATTACTGATGCCATAAACAAGAAGGTCAATTTGTTAAGTCAACAACAGGAGTCACTGTGCACTTACTCCTCATGTAGGATCTCTGTCCTGTCCTTAGTGTGCTGTACATTGAGATTTAATGCTATAACTAGTACTCAAACAGTATTTTTCACTTTGTGTTTCTGTGTGGGTGCAAACTGATGAAATCTTTACTTAATATATACTAAATCGATCTTCTGTATATAAAGAGAAACGAAAATGAATCTTGATGTGAATGGAAGGGGAGAGGGAGTGGGAAAGGGGAGGGTTGCGGGTGGGAGGGACATTATGGGGAAGCCATTGTAATCCATAAGCTGTACTTTGGAAATTTATATTCATTAAATAAAAGTTTAAAAAAAAAACAAAAATTATTTATTTGAAAGGCAGGGTTACAGAGAGGGAGAGGCAGAGGCAGAGACAGAGAGAGAGAGAGAGAGGTCTTCTATCCATTGGCTCACTCCTCAAATGTCCACAATAGCCAGGGCTGGGCCAGAGCAAAGCCAGGAGCCAGGAGCTTCTTTTGGGTCTCCCACGTTGCCGGGGCCCAAGCACTTGGGTCATCTTTCATTGCTTTCCCAAGCACATTAGCAGGGATCTGGATCGGAAGTGGAGCAGCTGGGACTCAAACCGGCGCCCATATGGGATGCTTCAGGCAGTGAATTAAATTACTATGCCACAGTGCCAGCCCTAGTCTTTTTTTATGTTGTTCCCCAGGCCTGGGTGCCCAGTCTTCTCTAATCTTCTGATTACGAAGCATCTTACTCTTTCCACAGTGACCCAGCATATACAACTGCCTGATGAGGTTTGCCAGGTAGAGGTGCAAGTGTGTTCATGGAACTTGGTAAGGTAGGAAGGCAGGGTAGGAATATGAAAGTTTCATAATCACCATATGCAGTAATGGGCACGCAGGCACAAATAGGTTATATGGGGGTCTTCAAGAAGTTCATGGAAAATGTGTATTCTGAAAAAACTATACATGGATCTCAAGAAAAATTTTGCAGCAAAATAAGTTTATCTTTTTCATTTCATTTTCCACGAACTTTGAACTGTCCTTGTACTCATGAAATCCTTGTGGGCCAGCACTGTGGTGTAATGGGTAAAGCAGCTGCCTGCGACACTGGCATCCCATATGGGCATAGGTTGGAGTCCCAGCTGCTCCACTTCTGATCCAGCTCTCTGCTGTGGCCTGGGAAAGCAGCAGAAGATGTCTCAAATCCTTGGGCCCCTGCACCTGCGTGGGAGACCCAGAAGAAGCTCCTGGCTCCTGGATTCAGATTGGCCCAGCTCTGGCTGTTGCAGCCATTTGGGGAGTGAACCAGTAGATGGAAGATATTCTCTCCCTTGCTTAGTATATACTAAGTTGATCTTCTGTATATGAAGGTAATTGAAAATGAAACTCAATGAAGGGCGGGATGGGAGAGGGAGTGGGAGAGGGGAGGGCCACAGGAGGGAGGGAGGTTGGGGTGGGGGAAGGCCACAATAATACAAAAGTTGCACTTTGTAAATTAACATTTATTAAATAAAAAGATATTCTCTCTCTCTCTCTCAATCTACCTTTCAAAATAAATAAAAGAAATTTTTTTTTAAAAAAAGAAATCCTTGGACAAGGGAAGGTGGGAGAAGAACTTGAGCAGTTTGGCCAGTTTGAGATTTGCAGAGGAGGAGAAGATGGCGTGAGGAGAACAGCACTCTCCCTCTTAGCACAGCTGAGCTCCAGAGAACATGACCAAGTATAACTGTCTAGGCTCAGGGCCAGGTAAAGATGACTGCTTCTTTTCTGTCGCTCCCCCTCTTCATGGAGGAACGACACTAAGCCCTGCCTAGGCTTCATATCCGAGTCACGGCACCATTATGTCGCTCCCCGTCTTCATGGGGGAACGACACTAAGCCCTGCCTAGGCTTCATATCCGAGTCACGGCACCATTATGTCGCTCCCCCTCTTCGTGGAGGAACGACACAGGACCCTGCGCTGTTCTTTCGTCTGCTCGGCCCTCCCCGGGTTTGCTGCTGGTTCTTCCCGGGTTGGCTACTATCCCTTCCACCTCCGTGGAAGGGCAGTTCCCCCTGGCCGCATTCCCCACTTCCGCAGGGGAGCGGCACACCGCCGGCCGGCTCTCTCGGGGGCTGCACGGGTTCCCTTAGATGTTCCCCATAGATGTTCCTGGTGCATGTTGTCTCTCTCCTCCTTTATAGTCCTCCTCCGCCAATCCTAACTCGGCTGCCCACACGCCGAGTACGCTGCTCTCCTCCAATCAGTAGCGAGTCCTACAGTTTATTAGTTGAACTGGAGGCAGCTGTGTAGAAGCTGTTTCCCTTCTCAGCGCCATATTGTGGGAAAGCAGATGCATAGAATAAGTCTTAATTCCAGTAACTCAGTCTAGTCCGGTTTGCTCCCCACACTTTTCCAAACGTTCAGAGGACAAGAACCTGGCATGGGGTCACAGGAAGGTGGGCACATGCAGAAAGTGGCAGATGAGCCAGAAGCTAGCTCTTAACAGAGTAGCTGGAAAGATCGTTGTGAGCGGTAACGGGAGGGAGGCAGACCAATCCCAGATGTAGTCAGTCATCCCTACCCTAGTCAGCTGCCACCCCAACATCTTCTTTTTTAAGATTCATTTATTTGTTTGAAAGGCAGAATTACAGGGAGGCAGAGGCAGAGGCAGAGAGAGAGAGAGAGAGAGAGAGAGAGAAGGTCTTCCATCTGCTGGTTCACTCCCCAATTGGCCGCAATGGCTGGAGCTGCGCCGACCCGAAGCCAGGAGCCAGGAGCTTCTTCCGGGTCTCCCACATGGGTGCAGGGGCCCAAGGACTTGGGCCATCTTCTACTGCTTTCCCAGGCCATAGCAGAGAGCTGGATCAGAAGTAGGGCAGCCGGGACTTGAACTGGTGCCCATATGGGATGCCGGCATTGAAGGCGGCAGCTTTACCTGCTACACCACAGTGCCAGCCTCCAACATCTTCTGATATCACTGCCTGTCTCTGAGCCTGGCTCCCTGTAGACCCCTCAAAAGGCATTTGGTTGAAAGAGAGCAA